ATATATATATATATATATATATATATATATATATATATATATATATATATATACGTAAACACATCAAATAGGTGTTAGAATGTAAAATTGATCCCCCAGTGCTGCATAAAGAGGTCAGTATATAGTTAGCAGGGAATGGACATCAAGAGCAGATATTTTGTTGGTAAACTGAGCACACTTGACCAGCATTTCTGGTTCTGACTACATCCATCCTTGCTAAGTAGCAGCAACTAGAAAGTGAAATGGGAGAAGTAGTTTTCTTCCTGATCCTTTGTTCCCAAGTCTCACGGTAACAGAGCTGCGGCTGTTGTCATTGCTGTTCTCGGAGGTGGGGGTCTCGCTGTTAACGTGCATTAGGTATTTTTATTGTAGCTTTAGTTCTTTCAGTGGTGGAAAACATTGGTTTAAACTCATAAAGTATCAAACTGCAAAGTCTTTAGTGTCTGTTGTTTTTTTCAGGTACTGCACACCTCGCTACACGGACTTTGAAGACCTTGAACGAAAATACTGGAAGAACCTCACGTTCAATGCTCCTATCTATGGTGCTGATGTTAACGGCACACTTTATGACAAGGTGAGGAGACTTTTTTGGTTTTCAGGTAACAGTTATCACTGTATATTGCATTCCATAAATATTAATATAGTATTTGACTCTTCACTTCCAGAAAGAGTTAATGGTAGTCTTAGCAGAGCTCCAGCTTCTGGAGTAGGCAGGAACATAATAAACTGTGCGTTTATAACATACTCTCCAGATAGTTAAAGAAGGCAAATAGAGGTCACGTTCCAAGGGACCTCTGTTAGTGCCTCAGTGTAGTACAGTTTAACTCAAGAAAGCAAAAACAACTGCTGCATAAGTGTTGCTTTTATACCACTTTGCCCTGAAAGGTGTATGAGAGTTGTAAGTGTTGATCAGTTAACACACACTGCTTTGATATCCATTAATGTGTGTATTTTTGTGGGACAGCTCTGTAGCCATTATGTTTTAGGATGATAAACATTAGAAAAGGGTATGTGTTCTACTTGCTAGTCTCCTACATTATGATTTACTCTTTTCAAAGATGTTTGGAATGAAAAGTTTCTGCTCAAGAGGGTTCAGACATCAGCTCAAGCTTGCAGTTGTTCTCTTCTCTGTAAAGTCTGTAGCTTCGTGATTATTTCTCCTTATTAATCATTATGTTGGCTGATGACTAGCCACCTTTATGGAGGAAAAAAAGTTAACAATTGGTACATAAGCTAACACCATGCAAAACTTTTGTTTTGGGCGCACTAGCTAGCGGTTTGAGCTATGCCAGTAGATGATTTGTCTTGATGTGGTGTTTCACAAGTGTGTGATAGCTTTTGCATCTGCCATCTTAGTTGTGTGGTTCTGTACTTCATAATGCTTGTTTAACATGATGCTTGTGTTTTGCAGGATGTAGATGCATGGAATATTGGCAGATTGAAGACAATCCTGGATATTGTGGAGAATGAAAGCGGCATAACCATTGAAGGAGTGAATACTCCTTACCTGTATTTTGGCATGTGGAAAACATCCTTTGCTTGGCATACCGAGGACATGGATCTCTACAGTATTAATTACTTGCATTTTGGGGAACCCAAGTCATGGTAAGATTTTCTAGGGAAGCTTCTAGATGTAGAGAAACAATACCACAAAATATTGGAGTCAAAGTTGTGAAGTTATGAGAGTTGTCTAAAGGAATTGCCATTCCTCTAATATTGCACTGCAGTTGTATCTGATGACAAGATCACTAGAAATCTGTAAGGAACTGCAAAGCAGTGTGTGTCCTCAGTAACATTTGTATGTTATGTTACCTTCTAGAAAGTCCATTTACTGTCCTGATGTAAAGAGTTCTTCAGAATTAAAATACAGGGTGGATGTTCTCTGCTGCAATAGGGCCAGAACTTGGAAAACTTGGTTATGATTTCCTGAGGCTCTAAACCATATAGAAGTAATATGCCTGTTGTCACGCAGGCACTAGGGGAACCGGCAATTTTTAACAGACTTTGAAATGTAGCTATTTGTCATATATTTAAAAGGAGGCTAGTGGATCCTGCTGAGTGGTTCGTCCAGTGTCTGAGCTTTCACGATTGTTTTTAGGGGAGGCTCCCAAATTTTTCTGTAGCATGGGTTGCATCTTAAGAGTGAATCATTCCCTTCTGTTCACAAATAAATTTCTCAAGCAACTTCAACAATTGTTTCCATGGCACTTTTGTTGGAAACTATAATTTTTGGCCGCCTTTTAATACAACTTTGAAGTAAAAAATAATAGCTAGTGCCATGTGACCAGTGAACAACCCCATGTGGTGGCAATAGCATAGGAACATGAAACAGAATAGTTCAGTCAGATAAACCTTTTGGCCATTGCTTCTCTTACAGCAGTATGTGGAAGAAATTAATTTTACCGATAGCTTGGTCTGATTTATTTAACAAGGAACACCATCAAGAATATAGCAGTCTATTCCAGAGCAAAATCAAGTTAAGCAGGTGGTTTTATTTACTGTAGTCAAACCAAGAAGTTTTGTGGCTCCCACAAAAAGGTGCATACAGAGAAAGAGATGTAGCCCTAAAGAGCACAGTGCAAGTTGTGTACGTGTTAAGGATGTGGCATTGTGTCTGACTTTGTTCCATCTTGGTCTGAGCAGCTGAAAGGTGATTCCATTTTCTCTCTTGGTCTATGTTCCTCCTTGCACTGAGCATACTAGTGATTCCACAGCCATGAACTGAGACTGGTCAGGAAGTGCTTTTCCTTCTCACAATTCGTGTTTTGCTGTGCAAATCTGCTAGCTAAATACATCAGACTTTTTACTTCCTTGACTGCTTAAGCAAAAGTCAGTGGACCAGATGGTCAGCTTTTGGCTCTTGATTTTTCTTGGGATAGAGAGGTAAAAGTCCTTGGTGTAGGGATGGAGGATTGATTTTTTTTTTTATTTTTTTTTTTTTTAAAGTAATTCATGCCTCAATGCCTGTTAATGATTTCCAGTCAAACTCTCAGATATTGTCATGTCACTTGAACTTAACAGACTTGTTCTTATGACTGCAGGTACTCCATCCCTCCAGAGCATGGGAAGCGTCTGGAGAGACTTGCAAAAGGTAATCGGGTGATTCATGTCCTGCCTTTTGCAGAAGATGGGATGAACAGCTTCAAGGGGTTTGAGCTCTTTTAGAGTACGACATGCCTGGAATGTTTGTAAGAGCACAGACTGGCACGACTGAACTGATAATTTGCCTTTTAGTGTGTAGATGATATAATTTCTGAGTATTTGCTTATAGTATAGACACAAGAGAGATGTCACAGTACAAATAATGCAATTGTGGTCTGTCTAACCTTTAGTGAAAATTCTTAACTATTGATTATTAGAACTGGAAGGTTATAGCCAAGGGAAGATCATTCTGTGTGCAGTCTTTTTTATGCTCTTTCAAACTCACGTCTGTTAAAGATAAATCTCCAGGAGTTGTCCTTTTTTTTCAGAATGCAAGCTAGCACACTTCATATAAGGTGGTCTGTACTTGTAGGCGTAGGGGAAAAATACTGTTTAGACAAAACTTTTCCTAAAAATTACTGAAAAATTAGCTTAGTTCACAGCAGAATGGTAAAGTTTCTCCTCACCTTTATTTTAAACAGGTTTCTTTCCAGGAAGTGCTCAAAGCTGTGAAGCATTTCTCCGTCACAAGATGACACTCATCTCTCCATCAATTCTGAAGAAATACGGCATCCCATTTGATAAGGTACAGAAGAATAATCACAGTTACACCAGCTCAGTCAAGAGGTTCATGCAGCCCTGTCTCATCTCTAACAGCAGCCAAGAGCAGATGCTTAGAGAAATAGGAACAGGGAAGGTATAAGCCAATCCTTTCCCACTGTGTTTCCATTTATCTGGCAGTTGGGGCCTGAAAGAACTTGAGACTGAAAAACCTATCAAGGAACTATTAAAAACAAAGGCTCTGTTTTCTGTGATTTTTTTAATTTACAGCTATGTACCCCATCCTGTGTTAGATTAACTTTACTGCTTAGCTGTGTATTCAATGAAGAGAGATTGTGCTTTTTTTGTTTCAGATATGTTGGCTGATAATTTCTTTTGTTGTGATCTGCGTGCTCAGTAGAAAATATGGCTTATTGCCTATTATTTTTTTATTACATTAATAACTATAGACTTCCTTACTTTCTCAGGTGATAACCTGCCACCCCTCTTCCCTACACACACATACTGAAGAACTAGTCTTTGAGTCCTTATTCAGAAGTACTGTAACATCTGTGTGGGCAGCTCGAGGGTTTTGTTGTCATGAACCTTTGTTAGACAGTGGGGAGTGTTGAAGAGCAGCAGTGGAAGGCTGATAGAGTTGTACTTGAATATAAAAAGCAAAAGAAAACAATAAATTTCCAAGCTGTATGTGGTTAGAAATTTTACTTGGCCTTGGATACTGTTCAGCCAAACTTGTAGCTGATAAGTACCTATATGACCTTTAAATAGCTGGTCACAGACTATTTTGTATGTATAACCACTTCTGTGCTGTTTTGACCAGTTGTGTTGTGTTTTAGTAAAAGACTGTTGTGTTGCTTTCCAGTAAACAGATATTTAACATAAACAGGAGAATAGTGGAGCTAAGTATCAAGTCTGTCCACTGCAGCACGGAACTGCAACCACCATCTGTGGGTGGGGGTTTCAGATACCCTGCATGAGGTGGACAGGAGCTCTTTTTATTCAGACCCAGCAAGTAGACTCTTAAGTTGTGATTAACATAACAATACAGTGTCTCAATTTTCTAGGTGACACAGGAGGCTGGAGAGTTCATGATAACCTTTCCTTATAGCTATCATGCTGGCTTTAATCATGGCTTTAACTGTGCTGAATCTACCAACTTTGCCACTCTTCGGTGGATCGAGTACGGGAAGCAGTCTGTACTGGTCAGTGGTCTGTTGTCATCCTATTGCATACAAATAACCTAATGCTCTGCTGCTCATTAAGCCCCCAGTGTTTGTTCTAAGGGAGTGAATTCGGTGCTTTGTCCACTTAAGATGTGATGTTTGCTCTCTGATATGGTTACAATGTCCAGCCAGACTCCTGTTTCATGTCCTTTTTTTTTTTTTTCAACTGTGGATAATATACAACATGTTTTTTTGCTTTCTGTAGATCAAGTGAGGCTTCAAATTAAAACAGGGGACTGGTTGTCTTTCCAATGATGAAAGGGTGTGCTTGGTGGTCAGGACTCACCAGTATTTTGTCTTATATTTGTAACTATTATATATTGACTGTTTAGCCTGGAAGTAAGACTTTGGCAACTTACTTTTTTGGATAAGGGATTTATCTTCACTGAACCTTTAGACTGGATAGTGTTATATCCCTTTAGAGGTGCCTTACAAACATGGGTTATGTTTTCAGAAGATACACTGAAGTGCATGCTCTGAAGCACTGGTTGTAACCATGCCCAGATGAGGGGAACCTCCACTGCTCTGGGTAGGCGTGGAGTTTGTATGGCTCAGACTTCGTCATTATAGTCTGGTTTTGATGGCTGTTCTTGTATGAGCTCATCTTAGAACAGTCAGCTTCTACCAGCAACTCTAAATAGGCTGGTGAGCTTCTTTCTTAGTTACTGTGATAACATCTGGTTTTCTGTTTTGTTGTTTTTGCTGGCTTTTCTTCCCAGTTTTTTGTAACTGAATATATGCCCTTTTGATTTTCTGGGAAAGAGTTTTGAAAGTTCTGAGGTTCAATTATATGTAACTGTGGGATTTTTCTTCAGTTAAGCTCCTGGAAGCAAAGTGATGCAGGAATGCAGAGTAGAATTGTTGAGCATGTGGCCTTACTTGACTATTTTCTGTGACTTCAGTGCTCATGTCGGAAGGACATGGTGAAGATCTCCATGGATGTGTTTGTGAGGAAGTACCAGCCAGATCGTTACAAGCTTTGGAAAGCCGGGAAGGATGTGACTGTCATTGACCATGCTCTTCCAACCCCAGAGGCGGCAGAGTTCCTTAAAGGGGATCTCATGCAAAAAGTCAAGAATGGGAAACAGTGTGCTGAGGAAATGGAAACAGGAGAGATGTGTAAAGAGGAAGTGGATGGGGACGAGACAAAAAGGTAGTGCTGTGTTTCTCTATTGGATTATTAGAAATTGGACTCAGCTGGAATTGAATGTTTGCCATTCTGGTAGACTGACACCAGTCAATTGCAATAGTCTGCTTTCTTTGGAATAGGGTTTACTCCTTTTTTTTTTTTTTTTTTTTTTAAACTATTTGAGTCCATGCTGACGATGGTCTCTGGTAGGCAGGAAGTGCACCAGCTTGGAAGGTAGTTCTTTGTCTTGGGACAGACATACAAAGCCTGTATTGGAAGTGTGCACCATACACTGGGAGCCCAGAAGAAAAAGGGGGTGTGTTGGGATCACAGGACAGTACTTGCTAGCAAATTCTGGTACTAGCAGTACCTCAGGCTACGGCATCAGTCTGCCGTTCCTGGTGGCTGAAGGTGGACAGGCTAATCCTCTTGCATTTTGCCGTTAAATCTTTTTGAGCCAGTGTTGGTCTGTCTCTGGTTCTGGGTTTTTTATTGTTGTTGTTTTGGGTTTTGTTTGAAGTTTTTTTGTTTAAGGTAAAGAATGTCTGGCTACAACACAGCTGCCTAATACATGATTAACAGGTGCTAAGGAGTCATCCCTAAGGATTACTGACTCTGCTTCTGTAAAGGCAAAGAAAACACTTCAGAAAAATTTGGAAACTTTGGCTTGCTAGATGCTGTCTTACAAAACAGTGATCCAACCCAGACTATTTTGTGCATCCAGATAGGAATTCAACATGCTTGATAACCTGACATACAAATTTGTCTTCCACAGCATCCCCAAGCATCGCATAGGCACAAAAAGGCACAGGGTTTGCCTGGAAGTGCCTCAGGAGGTGAGTGAGAGCGAGGCCTTTCCCAAGGAGGAGCTGAGCTCCACACAGTATGAAGCGGACATGGCAGAGCCCAGTGAGAGACCTACGCAGGAACTTGTGCAACAAGGTGAACAAAGGCTCAAGCTTCCAGGTAACTGTGTGTCAAGATTTATCCTGGTACAAGGGGACAGGGTAGTATTCTTCAGGGAGAGAAGCTGCTAGAGCTGAATCTGGGGCACTGTTTCGTATGATGCTAGTTGGTAGGATGTTGTCATGTCCAAAAAAGCAGACACTAGTTTTTCAGAGCCATGACAACCACTTCAGAAATTTTCTGTCATGAGACTTGAGGTAGTACCGTTTGATTTTTCAAGGCCAAAGAGTGTATCTGAAACAATTTTAGGTTGTGCCCTTTAAACTTGTCTGATGCTTCTGCCCCTCGTTTAAGTAAATGAAGTGACGACAGTGTGAATTGTTGGCTTTTGTGGCCTATCTGTGGAGGACTCCCCAGTGGGAATTATATTGAAAAAAGCTGGGGGAGAGCAAAGGTGTAGGCAGCCATCCAGTAGCTGCTTCAGTGACTGACTGGCCAGGTAGGTCATGGGGATGTTGCTTTTCAGCTAAAATAAAGGGAGAAGGAGAATTGATTGAGACTCGTTTAAGAAATTGGTGTTCTAGCTTTTGCTTTCTCTCTTTATTTTTGCCTGCCTGCATACAGAAATGTATTGGGTGCCTCAGTAGCCTAAGGTCCTCTGTATCCCTGTTGTGTAATGTGACCTGTTCATAGAAATTGCTTAGTAAAATCTATGCAGACTTCCTGGTATTGTGGGGCTTGTATGCTGTATAGATGTTTTGTTTTAGTTTTGTAACAAGTAGGCTGGAGGAAAATTAATGTGGCTTGTAATGGGTCAGTTATCCTTGCTCTTAAGGGAGGAGCAAGGGGCCTGTGGAACAATACAAGAACAGGGCAAACATATATGATGCCTCCCTCTAGTATTGTGTTTTCCAACCCATTGCAGTTTGTATTTAGTAATCCTCTATTGGTTTGTGGGTTTTCTGTCTTTTTTTTTTTTTTTATATTAGGTCTCCTATGAACCCTGTAACCTTTTAACCCACAGCATCATGTGGCCAGGAGATGGGCTGTTTAGCTACACTCTATAAAGGATCATCTCTGTTTATTTTGAACTCTGCTGGTTTTGTTATATATATGAGTAAAGACCTCTCTCTAAGCCACCCATGATGTTATAGGTGTTTGAATTAATGATCTACTCTTTAAATGACAGTGTTGCTTTTTTGCATGTAGTAGTTTGCTTTCTTGTTTGGCTTTGTGCAAATGGTTGCACAAATGTTCTCTCTGCTGCCCAGACTTTAGAAAAAGTCAGCGTATCCTTTCTTCTAGATCGTGTGGACTCAGCCAAATTTGAAGAACTGAAAACAGTGAAGCTTGAGGAGGAGGAGGAAGAAGAACAAGAAGCAGCTGCATTGGATCTCTCCATTTCACATGCTTCAAATTCCACTTCAGTGTTGCCAACTTCAAAGCAGAGTGCAACGTCCAGTGTTCAGTCCAGTTCGCCTGCGTATTCTGGTTCTTCAGACTCTGAATCGACTGATCTGTTGGCAAAACGAACTCTTCCTGGGCCAGCTGGGGTGCTTACGGTCCATAGCTACGCTAAAGGGGATGCCAGTGGATCTGACAATGAACAGACGTCAGGAAAGAAAGCCAGTGACACAGCCAGTGTGAATGAGCAAGAACTGGCAGAGGTATGAATGGCAAGAGTACTGAAAGCTTAAGGGCTGTGTTACGTTCTCGTGGATTTGCTATGACAAAACTTCTGTCTGTGCAGATTACATTTTCTTTCCATTGGTGTTTGCATAGCAGGTTGCTTAGTTGTTAATGTGGTTTTTAATACCTACAGCTTTTGCTAAACAAACAAGAATTAAGATGAAAGTCTTTTACCTCTTCTAGAAAACAAGGAAATCCCTTGTTTTGAGAACTTCTCTAAATTATCTAAGTGATTTAAGAGAAAGGGTAGCTTGGTGTTTTTGACATGAGAGTGTTACAGGCTCTTTCAGGTCCTTTAATAGACACCTAAAATTAATCTAGTTCAATCCAGCCTTTATTACAAACACATTAATACATTTGAGGGGGGGGGTGTTAAATACAAAATCGCATACATGTGTACATCTGTGTGTCCTTTTTAAAAGAAGAAATGACAGAACAAAAATTACTGATTGGGAGAATAAATCTGAGTGTTTAAGAACTGCCAATGAATGGTTATTAGACAATCCAAGAGAAGTCTGTAATAGCTCAAATCTTTCCTGCTGGTGTCTTTTCAAATTATTTTGCTTCCCTCCTTAAACCTGTGTTTAGAGAGTGGGAGGCTGATAATGATTATCATTTTACAGGGAAAAGGTGAAATTTTGAATGAGTGTAGATTGTTTTTCCCCATATGGTGTATTTTGAAACAAATTTTCCATCATATGGTAACTGGGAATGCTAATTTCCATTTGAATAAAAGCATTTCTGTTTCTTAGAATTCTTGTATCCAACTCTGTGTAGGAGATCAGAGATAATGATTATGCTCTTTCGTGGCTTCTTTTATGAAGAGATTTAAAAAGATGTAAGATGCATTTAATCTAAGATTTGCTTCTGCTCTTAAAGGAATAACAGACTAAAAAAAGGGGGGGGTGGTGTTGTTCTTATCTACTGAGAGACTTCCTGGGCTGTTAAAATCATTGCCTTTATTGTCTTGCTTGTCAGGTTAGTAGTAATTTTGTCAGCATGTCACTTACTTTTACATAAGGCTAAGGGAACATGAAGTAACTATTGTAGTCTCCTTCTAGTCTGTCTGGAAAGACATCAGTGCAAGTAATAAGTAAACAGAGTGAAAGTTTTCTTCGTTTAAAACAAGCTTGTTAGTTCAAGAAAGAACTCCATAATTTTTATTTTATTTTTTATTTTTAAATTTGGAATTTTTAAGTTGATGCACAAACTGAGGATTTCTTCAGAGTGGGTGAGACTTTTTATCATGGCTCTTCCAAGCTGAACCATTCAACTCCCCTTTCTTTGTTTCTGTCTTTTACACAATACTTATACAGACTTGCATGAAAAGCTGCACTGGGACCTGTGAAAAGTCTATATTCTAATGGCTCAACAGAGCTAGTACAGCAAGCAGTTCTTGTAGCTTGCTTGCAGCTAGTACTGCAAGCAGTTCTTTCAGAAACAGCTAGTTTAGAGCTGAAGTTAGTTTGTTAGAAATAAAATCATGGAAGCATATGTGCATTTTGTGGAGGTTTTTTTAAGTTCAGGATAAATTCCTTTAAAAATAATGTAAAAGGACACACGCTAATTGACTGCTGAATTGTTTCTCCTTGTCCAGGTAGCAAAGGAGTACATAAGATCAATGAAGGAGAGTAAGAAGTCCAAGGGTCGTCGCCAACCATTGAGCAAGCTCCCACGCCATCACCCACTTTTGGTTAAAGACTGCATTAGTGATGATGGTAAGTAAGCCTTGTGCTCTTTGGGAAAGTGTAGAGAGGGTCTCAGCTTCTGTGGACAGTGTGGGGTATTTTGTTAAGTAACTGGCAACAAACAGGAGTCAGCATTGCAGATGAGGTTCTTACCTAATTTTTTTTGTCCTTGCATCGTTAAACTTTTCTCCTCAGTGGTGTCGGCTTTCTTTCCTTTTCCATTCTTTGGAAAATCGCAACTCTGAAATTAAAATTAAACCAGTATGAGAGAGTGTTGCATAATTGCATCTGCCTTAGAGCATTCCAGTAATTGATGTAAATACTCCCGTTTTTTTAAAAAAAACAAAACCAACACCAGATTCTTTGGCTGACAGCCTAGTCTTGACATAATTTGGAGCTGGTGCTGTTCTCACCCTGTAAGCCTATCTCGTGTATTCACAATTGTTTGATTAGTAGAATCCTCTTAAAAAGGAGACCAAGTTACTGGCTCCCATCACCCCGATGACCATTTGATTTCTGGGAGTCTTTCATTCATGTCTTAATTCATAACTTCTTGCCTTACTTAGTTTCATTAGCAAGAAGTTAAGGACATATAATAGCTGAGTTAATGATCTATTATTGCAGAGGCATCGGAGCAGCTAACTCCTGAAGAAGAGGCTGAGGAGACAGAAGCATGGGCCAAGCCACTTAGCCAGCTGTGGCAGAATCGGCCACCAAATTTTGAGGCCGAAAAAGAATACAATCGGACCATGGCTCAGCAGTCTCCTTACTGTGCTGTTTGTATGCTCTTCCAGACGTATCAGGTATGTAGACCAAATCTGTTGATGTTATAGAGATAACTAAATAGGTTGCCACTGTGATGCATGGTTAAATGCCATTTTACATATTGCCACTTAACAAAAGGTGTATTAGTGTTGCAGTCTTCCTGAGGAATTGTTTTAGGAGAGCACAACTGAGTGAACCTTACCACAGCTGTGATGGCCTGCCTGTGGGTTCCCAGGGCTTACCCAGCTGTTCAGCAGAAGTTTTTGTGTTCTGTGGCTTTTGCTCAAACCACAGAACGGAACTTGAATGTTGCTGGAGCTGACTATAAAATCCCATTTCTCTTTTTCAGGCTGACACCTTCACTTCTACACTTGTTTAAAAAACACTTGAAATCCACTCATAGTGTGTGGTCTTTGGGGAGCTGGCAAGGAACAAAACCTTTCACTTAAAAGGATTTAGGGTTCTGTTTGTGGATGGCATAGATAGAAAGCTGTCTTTTCTTGGAGTATGTCCATATTGACACGTAAAAATGTGCTTTGACAAAGCACAGCTGTAGAAGTGCATAGCTTAGGATGGGTTACAGAACCCCTTGGTCATGTTGACTAAATGCTTAGGCAGGAGTCCCACACTGAATTTTTTGCTGTGATTAAGCTATGTGATTTTAAGGTAGCTTCAATAGTTGTCTGGTTGTGTGTTGGATCTGCAACTTAGAGATAGTTTGTCCCTTCCCATACACTAAGCACGTTTGATTCATTTGAGATCACTGTAGGATTATGGTGGCACTAGAAGCATGTTCACCACAGTGTTGGAAATAAAGACCTAAAATTTTTTTGAGGGTTTATATTGTGTATATTTCCTAATTCTTATGAAAACCATCAACCATATTTCTGTTTGATCTTGCTATTTCTGTCTGAGAGTGGGTTCTTGTTAGGACTGCTAATTCTACATAGAAGCTGCATGGAGATTTCTCTAGTTCTGGCAATGTATAAAGTTAACAATTTGAGAACAGCTTAAGTTCTGCTAGTTTCTTTTTTGAGTTCTAAATGCTATTAAGTAGAAAACTCTAGCTGCAGGTTTTCAAATGTCTGTCTACACGAGGCAGTGAAGCAGAAACTCTTCCAAGATTTGAGCTGTGGTTAGAGTCTCTGTTCCAACTTCAGAAAGTCTATAGCAAGTCTGGGAACTCACTTCAGTTACCCATTCAAATAAAACATTGGCATAAAATGCCAGACAAATACTCACTTTCCCTTTGTGAAGAAGAAAAGTATCTAGCTGCTTGGAAAAAAAGTTGCATTTTCTTTTAACTTTGTTATAGATTTCCCTCAGTCATTAGTCTTTTGCTTGATGTGTGATGTTCAGTGTAAACCAGTAAGTTTTACAGAATCTGAATAATCAAGATTTGTTGGAAACATGTAAGTTTCCTTCCAACTGTGATCCTTACCTGGACCTTTTTTTTCCTATCTTTTCAAGCACTGTAGGAGGGACAGTGCAGCTTCATTCTGCTACTTTGTTTTCCACTAATAATATTTTTTAAAGATTAGGCAAGCTACTTTTGTGGTGGCCTGTGAGGTACAAAAGATGGTTTGAAATACCTCTTCAGAGAGAAGGATTAATTTCTATTTAGCTGTTAAGAAGGGTAACTTGAATTGAAGAATATTTCTGTAAACTTTGCTGTTTGGTTTGACATTGGTTTAGATGAATAAATTATAAAAGATTAGCATGAAAGTCTCCTGAGCTTTAACTGGGAAACTGCAGTTTTAGTCTGCTTGTTTTCCAGAAACAAATTAGTTTCAAAGCCCATTAGACTTGTTCAGAGCTATGTTAGGAAAAACTAATGGCGATTGCAGTAGGTGTCTATTTATGTGATTGCAGTCCTTCCCTACTGAAATAAGATAAATGTACAAAGTTGGATAGCAGTGTTATGATCCTCTCTGTTAGGGAGTAGGTGGATGCGGCAGAGCTGTTACCCACAGAGCATGGGGTGGGGTTAGTGATTCCATCTCTTCTGTCAGAAGAGATGCAGTTTGTGTATCTTGTTGCTCATCAGAGGGATGCAGTTCAAACCCTATGTTTAGCCCTTTGGGTAGAAAATAGTTTTATTCTGAGGCTGTAGTAGCAGAGGATTTGATATATGTCGTGGTTTAAACCCAGCCGGCAGCCAAACACCATGCAGCTGCTCACTCACCGCTCCTGCTCTGGGGAGTGGGGAAGAACTTGTAGGTTGAGATAAAAACAATTTAATAATTTAAATTTTAAAGAATTTAATAATTATGATAGTAGTAATAGAAAATACAAATGAGTAATGCACAGTGTGATTGCTCAATGCCTGCTGACTGATGCCCAGCCTGTTCCTGGGTAACAATCCCAGAAAAGAGAGAATTCTGAAGCCACTGTCCTGAAAACCCAAGCTTCCCTGTCAACCCTTATCTACATACTGAGCATAACATTAGATGATATGGAATATTCCGTTGGCCAGTTTGGGTCTGTTGTTTTGGTTGTGCTCCCCCTCTGCTTCTTGTATACCTGCACACTAGCAGGACATAAGAAGTTGGAAGGTCCTTGATCTCTTAGCAACAACTAAAAACATCAGTACAATATCAGCATTCTTCTCATATCAAATCCAATACAGAATCCAAAACAGCACTATTCTAGTTACTAAGAAGGAAGGAAAAAAAAAAAACAATTAGCTCTATCCCAGCCAAAACCAGGACAATAAACTAACTATATTTTCCTACTAACTCTTAATCTTTCAGCACCCTAGTTCTTTCTTTAAACTGAGTGTTATGTATGAAATAATGGATGAGTAAAGATAACGTGAGATGGTTTTACTTGTAAAACTTAAATTCCCTGTCCATCCCTTATAGGCGGAGTGTGGAGGCAACAGTCAAAACTCCGGAGTAACTCCAGCTGCTGTGGGTGGGAAGATCCGAACCAAACCCCTGATTCCTGAAATGTGCTTTACTACAACTGGCTGCAGCACTGACCTCAATCTTTCAACCCCCTACTTAGAGGAAGATGGAACCAGCGTACTTATCACCTGCAGGAACTGCCATGTCTGTGTTCATGCGAGTGAGTGCATCTAGACTTAATCCTAAAGACTAGTGTAGTAAGTCTGTACATCATAGCAAGCCTCTACTGGTCTGTTTAATGTACAAATAGACCAAGTTCAGGCCTTATCTGAGTGGTATATACTTGAGTGCTGGCCAATGAAATATGGAGTCAGCTGCATGAATAACTTCAAATATACAACATTGTCCTGAGGCTTATTGGTTTGAATTCATTCTTTACTTCTGGGCCCTAGGTAAAGGAGCCTGAGTTTAAGTAAGCTCTTAAGCAAGATGTGTCTGTTCTAGGTTGTTATGGTGTATCCCCTGACAAGGCCACCGAAGACTGGATGTGCTCCAGGTGTACAGAAAATGCCTTAGAAGAGGTAAAGTTTCTCATAAGATTCTTATAGATGGAGTCTGGTGCATCTAGGAACTGGGCTTCCAAGTTCATTTCCATAGTGGTTTGTTTTTGGTTTTTAATTCTCTTCTGTGAAACAAAGACAATTTAGAGAATGTTTAGGAGCCCATTTCTTGTGTTTTGGTGCCTTCTAAGCTACAGTGATAGAATCCTTTTAACGAGTGCAAAGCTGCTGAGCTCACTTGAGTCATATAGAAGATGTTTTGCATGAGTGTGGAAATAACTCCATTGTTTGTCTTAATTTACACTAGCTACTCTTTCTAAAACAGAAAGTAACTTCTGTTTATAACTAGGGAGGTGTGCACATGTGAAGGAGGCAAGAAGAATGGGATTCCCTCAAAGCTATATAGACTTTAGATCAGCAGAACAGGTCAGCCTTTTGTATTTGCTAGTGTTTGTTCCAGATCCTTTTACACATCCTCAAAGGACATGGTGTATTACAGTTGTAAAAGGAACCTACAACAAACAAGTTGAATAAGTCTTCAGTGGTAGGTCTGCTTTCCTTTCAACAGCATTGGAGTCTCTTTGTTGCCCTAAGGGCAGCAGCTTTTGAGAGCTAAAGGGCTGATCTGTACAAGGTAGTTAGCGCTCTTCTGACAGTGAAACCATTTTCTTCCTCTGGACATGCATTTTGAGGAGGAAGTTCTGAGGCAAGTGTGCTGCTCTGGACTTCACTCTTTCAGCTAATGCTTTCTTCCCTCTGCCAGGACTGCTGTTTGTGTTCATTACGAGGAGGAGCACTGCAGAGAGCCAATGATGACAAGTGAGTGTTCCATATTTTTTAATCTTAAGGGAGAAGCTCAATTCCGAAGTAGCTGAGGGTAAGCTAGTAGTGCCAATGTCTGCATTTGGTGTAACACAGTAACCAACAAAACCTTTCATACTTTGTGTTACTGGGGGGGATACGGTAAAGTGTGGTCATTGTGTTCACATCCAGCAATCATCATCTCTTCAGGTAATGCCTCACTTTCATTCTGTTGACAGCAGCTGTTAATTGCTTTGCATTTTATAGTGCAGAGGTGTAATGTACCACATAAAAATAAGGTTCCTGATGAGATAATATCTTTCAGTACCTTCTCACAGAGGATTTTGATTTCTCCCTGTAATGTGTGGTGGTGATGGAGAAAAAGGACCACTATATTTTTAAGTAGCACAACATACTGAAATTCAGGGTCCCTCTGCAGCAGGTATACTGTATACAACTGCCTGTCCTGTGTCCTTTGGTGTGGTGGATTGTCTGAAATTATTTGACAGCAGTAGTACAGACTTGTAGCATTATGAAGTAAATGAAACTTAGCCTCCAGAAACTTTGGGGACGTCATACAGAGCCTCAACTTATCAGGCAGGCCTCTATAATGCAGATATGCAGCCAACACAAGCCACACTAAATTGCTCTCCTGTTAAGCCTGTTAGTAGTAGATTGGAAATATGAAGAAGTGTTGGGTTTGCCCCACGTGGCTTATTACTGGTAGTAGGCTATTTATTGTGGTTTATATTGCAAGCTTCAACAGAACTGTATCTACTTTAAACTCCAAAGTGTCCTCTGTTGGCCTAATACATATTAATTTCTTTCCCCTCTTCTATCCTGGCAGGTGGGTTCATGTAATGTGTGCTGTAGCTGTACTGGAGGCAAAATTTGTGAACATTGCGGAGAGGAGTCCTGTAGATGTTGGCAAAATCCCTCTGCAACGTTTCAGACTGGTAAGGATCACCTGTGCTTCACTGGTGGGGTTTGAAAGTGTCTCTCTGGTCCATTCAGAATCGGGGAGACTTTGCTTATACCTTGAATCCCAAATTGTCTCCTCCCCAGACTGAGCAATTTAATCTGCTCTGTTCTTTGTATGGGAAATGGCATTTGTCCCTGGTGCTATTTTTTGAACCTTTCCCTGTTCTAATACATGTTTATTCAGATCAGGAGCCGGGAAGGAGAGCACAGTTTTCAGTATGTGGCAAAAGACATTTTAGACAGTGGTGTAATGGTGATGTTTCTTTTGTTTGTTATTTTTCTAATCCCTAGTATTTAACTTGCTTTACTGACTGCTCTTAAGCACTGAGATGCTTCAGGATATGCAAGGCAGTTGTATAATGGTTGAATGTCTTTAGCAAGAAAGCAACTGTACTTTAACTCTTGTAACAGCCCAGTGTTGAGGGGAAAATGATTTTAACTGCTTTGCATATGCTATTGTATTACAGATAACATTCTTCTACAACAGCCCATCAGGCCTGACCCAAGTGTAATTGGGTCACTGATAGTAATGATAGAATTTCAACTGTTGCTTCTGTGGTCTTTGCCCATTATTCTAATCTTGTTTGTCTTTGTGTAACTTAATCGACAAGTGCTGAAAGGCCCTGTTGACTTTGGAGCATTGTAGGCTGATTTAATACAAGATCTCCCATTGCTAGCATCCTTTGGTCACATGCTTTGTGCGTGTTGAGCTGGTAGATACTTAATGTACAATTTTCATCTGTGGGGTTACTTTTAAATTTATGAATTGCTGCCTTGTCATAAACTAGAACTGGTAGCCTTCTGCTTCTTTTTAGTAAGAAATTAGCAGTGCTGTCACAGAGAGTAAATGACACAGTATCAGACTCCTAGACCAGATAGTGTGAGATAAAAGCTAGTAAACCCAATAACCTTTAGTTTCCTGTCCACAGAAATGCATCTTCTGCAAGAAACGAAGAAAGAGAATTGCAGGTTGCTGTGTACAGTGCTCACATGGTCGGTGTCCCACATCCTTTCATGTCAGCTGCGCCCAAGCAGCAGGAGTCATGATGCAGCCTGACGACTGGCCATTTGTTGTCTTCATTACCTGCTTCAGGCATAAGACTCCATCTCAGGCAGAGGTGAGTAGGTGTGTGGGTCCCAGGGTTTGAACTGCAGTATCTTGGAGGGTCTGAAAGAGTTTTAGATTGTGTGATTCTTTTAAAACTTCCATTAAAGGCTTGGCTCTCTCACAGTGTTCAGTATAATCTAACGGTGTCAGTCTTGGATTCTGATCTCAACCTTGCTGCTACTCTGAGTGATATTAGTCAGGTCCTTTATTGTATTTTGGTTTGCAGCCCAGAAGACCTGAGAGCGTTACATCCCTCCTGTGGCTGTTGTAATGAGGAATAATAATGGGGTTTATGCTGTGATACTTAATATGCGGGAGTTAGTGCTGGGACTCCAGCAGGCTGCATGAGTGGTCATAGATTTCATGTTTTAGTGATTGATTTGTTTATAAAGTTCCCATGTAGCACTTTCAGCCATCAAAACCACAACAGTCTGTTAAAGAATATTTACTGTAAAGCTCTTGCATTGCTTTGAAAAATTAGAGCTTAATTTACAAAGTAAATTAAGGACAGCATCTAACAGATTAAGCTTTAAGCATTTGAAATTCCAGAGGCAGAACTTTTCTAAAAATTCTGCTGATGGTGTCTTGAGTAGAGTTACTCACCTGAACTAAAATATTTTTCTTCCTTGTCTGCCAGCACTTGGAGCTATGGTCCTCAGCACATTCTTTATTGAGTCATTGTGTAAAAAGTGATTTTTGTCTTCTCAGCGAGCAAAGGCTGCACTCCAGGATCTGTCACCTGGACAGATAGTCATCAGCAAGCACAAGAATGGTCGCTTCTATCAATGTGAAGTGGTCAGCCTTGCAAAGGAGACTTTCTACGAGGTCAACTTCGATGATGGCTCCTTCAGTGATAACCTGTATCCAGAGGACATTGTGGTACGTTCTGCAGTGGGAGCCTGGCCCCAGTAGAGGGCACATGATGTGAGTCAGTTCTTGCTGCTGCAGAGCAGACACCGGGGGATTTGGTAATTGTTCCAACCCTAGGTCGAGTTGTGGCTTAGATGTGCTGCAAAATGGCCTTAGGGGTGTTACATGAGACTGACTTAACTGAGGGCACACGGGAACAAGTGTAACAGGGAGTGCAGCTAACCTTTGGCTGCTTAGCAGCAGTAGGTCTGAAGGAAAGCTTGTTGATACTCATGTACCATTCCTGCATGAAGTACTTTGAATTTGGGCCTGCTGTTGGGATTTAAATACAGATGACATAGATGGATGTCTCTCAGCCTAGTTCTCCATCCCTAAAATGGAATAATCATTGGGGTGGTGTGCACTGTGACTGTGATGGACTCCCTAGTGCTGAATCTTCACATAAGGAAGCTGCTTACCCTTCTCTTTGTGTCTCTCACCTTCCTCCTTTATGCTGTAGAGTCGAGACTGCCTTCAGTTAGGCCCACCTGCTGAAGGTGAAGTTGTACAGGTGAGATGGACAGATGGACAAGTTTATGGAGCCAAGTTCGTTGCATCACATGCTATCCAGATGTACCAGGTACAGAATTCTCTGAAAATTCAACATTCATAACAAGTGGATCATATTGATAGGGCTGTTCTCAAAGCCAGCAGAGCTATAGGGGAGTCATGCTTAAACACATCAGGGGAAGTTACTCAGTGTTGTCAGCAGTGCCAGGTGCTGATAACAGTTGCTGGAGTTAAGAGCAAAGTGGTGCTTGTATCTCTACTTATATCTGGCTACCTACTTGAAAGTGTCAGCTTCTGAAAAATTGGTGGTCTGCAGTTCTTCAGCAGACTCTGTTTCTGTAGCTTAAACTACTTAAAACAAGTGTAGTTTTGCTTTTCTGTGTTTAGTGAGAGTGCATCATGCCTTGCACACTTCCAAAGGGATGAATGTTCAGAATGTGTTAAAGTGACCAGACTGTCTTGTCAGGTGGTACAAGAATATCCCAGAACTTGCTGGGCTACTTTTTACTGTCATGAGATTGGTGAAGTTTTGGTTAAAGTCTATTGCAGTGTGCGCACCTGCATATGTATCTTATAAAATTCAAGTGGTAGAAGGTTATCTCATTAGAGGCCTCTGTGTGGAGGAGAAGGCAAGTTCTGGGTAGCTGTGGGAGGGTTCTAACTTCTGAGACTTTTGGCAGAGCAACTTCTGGTTTTCTTCTAGGTGGAATTTGAAGATGGGTCACAGCTGATGGTGAAAAGGGATGATGTGTATACTCTCGAAGAGGAGCTTCCTAAGAGAGTGAAGTCAAGGCTGGTAGGTAACCAGGGTGCAGATTTTTAAGAAGATGACTTTAACTTAATTTGTCCTTGAACAGCAAGCTGAGTCCATGGCAGCAAAAGATTACAATCTGATGCTCTCCTCAATCATTGCAAAGCTTGGTAGTTGATCAGGCTATAAAAGCAAAGTTCTGTCTCATTCTGGAGAGATGTTAATTCTCCTTCTGCAGAGATAGGAGTTTATAGCATAGAGTCACTGTTTGGGACAGCATGTTAATACCCTTTAGTGCCTGTATTTGTAAGTCCTATTGCCTGTTCTCATTGCAAAGAATGGCCAGGTTCCTTCACTTAGCTGTTGTTCTGAAAAGCTCTTAATAGGCTTGCATTGAGAGCTGGCCATTTTCTAAAATTGAAAAATAATTCAGGTGAGGAAAGACCTCTGTGGGTCTCTGCTCCAGTCACCTGTTGCCAGCAGGTGTAACTCAAGTCAGACAGGGTGGGTTGCTCTGGGCTCTTTTCAGTCAAGTTTTTATTATTTCCAAGGACAGAGATCCCACAGCCCTTATGGGTCCCTGTTCTATTGCTTTATGCTTCCTGCTATAAAAAAATGTAATTGTGGACAGCATGCTAAGGTATCTTGCTTTACAGTAATATCATGCATACCCTAATGCAGAATCTGTTGGCAGGCACACAGGATGTTAGAGGTTTAAGAAAGAATATATCATAGCTAAACTCTGTGACCAAGTGTTTAAACATGCCTGCTCCATAAGGCACAAAATAGACTAGACTGCTTGAAAGTTGGAACAGATGAGTGTTTCTTCCTTCAAGAAAGTGACTTAAATTACATCTAAAAAAAAAAAAAAAAAAAAAGAAACAAACTGAAATTAGCTACTCAGTTAAATTTGAAACCTATGATTCTTTAGATCTCTGATTACAGTTCACTTAAACTTATACCCAGACTTTTAAATCCAGTTTCTTAAATATTTTTTTTCTTGTACTTGGTTGATTTTTGAAGAAAGCTGAACATTCCCAAGTGTCCTGACTTGGTTCTTTCTTACATGCAGTAGGAGGATGTGGAGGCAGGGTTTTGATCTATGTTCCAGTGACTAATTCTGTTTTTTCTCTTAGTCAATAGCTTCAGATATGCGCTTCACAGAGATCTTCGCAGAGAAGGAGGTCAGACAAGAGAGGAAGAGACAAAGAGTGATCAATTCACGCTACCGTGAAGACTACATTGAACCTGCATTGTACCGGGCCATCATGGAGTAAGCGCTGCCTGTGGCAGAGGAAGATGATGCCCACTTCCCCCAAGGATTTAAACGCTCCAGTACAACAGGCCATATTTGGATGCTTCAAATCCAGGGTTTTTTGTTTTGTTTTTTAAGGAAGCTAAAAAGCTGATGCTCTGCAGTAGCTGAAAGGCAGCTGTTGGATAGTGAAACAGATCCCATTTGCTGAAGCTGATGCCTGCAGACTCCTGGTCTGAAGTTGGGTCCTTATTGAATAAGCCAGTTTGGGGGTGTTGCTCTCATCTCGTTGAGCAGTCTTGCTTTTTTATTAAGAGACAATTCTGACAGGTGGCAAACTCTGTTGGGAGTTTTAGCCGGGAATCTTGGCAGCTGCAGAGTAGTATGGTTTATTGTTTTAATTGAATAATGTTCCTGATTTTTGGGAGTCTCCCTGGTGACCACACCTGGGCTTGAGCAGGCAGTATTACTGGTGCTTGAAATTGAACCTCTTTTTATATTTATATCCATCTTTTTGTTGCAAGCAGCTTCAGTCTCTTGTTTCTCAGCATCTCCTTTCTGAGGGTTGAGCTGTAGGCTGTTCAGATCCAAGCAGACAGGAGATGCTTGTGTGAACAGATGAAATGTGAAATTGAATCCTATAGGGCAAATTATTTAACCCTCCATTTAATATTTTTGTTCTGATACTTGTTTTGACTTACTTAATCATAAGTGTAACTGTAATAGTATGTGCCTCAGAATCCATGAGATCTGTCGAGCCCTGCACAGTGCAGCCTTCTAACAAGAAAAGGCATTCAGCTCCCAAAGAGTTTCTTTTGAGTTTCTTCCCACCCACTCTAAGGCAATAATGACCAAAGGACAGAGTCCTGATTCTCTCTTCTTGAAAACCAAGCATCACAGTATTGGGGATCACAGGGCAGTGGTATCTGAAGCAGTGCAGTACCTCTTCTGTGGCAGTGCTGTCTGTCATGTGGCCGCAGGCTTGTGCTTACAACAGCTGATAGTGGGTCTGAGACAGATAAAGCATGCACTGAACTGTATGTATTACTGAAAGGCTGTACAATGCTCTCCTGAAGCAGGAGTGCTGCTGGGTTGTTGTGTTGGAGAGAACTTGTTGCCCCAGCAATAGGAAGCTGAGTTAAGCTGGGTAATAGGTGTACCCAGATGTGCCAACTTGCTCCTAGTAACTTAAGCATTAACACACCACAGTAGGAGCTGTGTACATACCTGTTCCTTTCCCATTCTGTAGGAAAGGGATTTTAGGCTATGGAGCAGACTGGCCGCCTTTTTGCATAGAATGATGGGGTCACTTTTCCTGCTGGAGAAAATTAGGGTTATGTGGTCTCCAGCAATAGTTCAAGAGGAGAATTTTTCTAATTCAGACCTAATGCATCCCTGCTTCTATAGGGATGTGGAAATGTGTCTGCAAAGTCTGGATTTATAACTTCTTTTCCTTTTGTTACCTAGGAATGCTAGAAACCAAACTCTTCTGAAACCCCTGGTGCATTTGTGATTAGCAATAAAATATAGTATTGTGTAGTAATACAATTCTTGATCAGAAAAGAAATAAACTACAACTTTTGTAAAGAAAAGCTTACTTATCCCTACATTTTTATAGGGTCACAAGGCTGATATGAGTAGCAAAGATTTGCACAACCACTGTTTTGCATAGAGGTATTCTGTCCCATTTTTGTGGTGGAATACCTTGTTCATCAGTATTGGAAGGCTTAAACAAATTCTGAAAGGAAATAATGGCTTTCCTTTGTGGTTTTTTTTTTTTTTCTTTTTTCTATGTCCAAAACTCCTGGTCTCAGGGTATTAAGTCACTTTCTGATGAATGGGATAGTTGGCTTGATAAAACTAGGATCTGTTAAGACTGGAGTCTAGTAGCTGCAGTTACTCTGGTCTAGGCAATGGGAATGAAACTGCACTTTGACATATTAGCTTGTACGTCAGCCTTTTTGAAGCGATGTGCTGTGAGCAAATGTGGAGAAGAGCTGGCAGGACCTTAACAAACTTGCCTCTCTTCTGTCAGCATATCTTAAGATTTGGTATTAACTTCTCATAGGCTATACACTACCTGTATATTACTGAAAAACATATTCTTCATATCATCTGCCATTCTGCCTCCAGAGAAAAGATGCCTGTGTTCAGGCTTTCTTCCCAAACTGCCATGTAACTTAAATGCACCTTTTAGATGCCACATGCTACCTGTGCTGCAAACACCTGGCTCAACAGCTTCATCTTAAAATGATGACCTAGTACAAAACAGCTGGATTTGTTGGGAATGCTGTTGTTTAACTGCGACAGGTTTTGCCACCCACCTCCAACAGTATTGAGTGACTTTCAAGAGCTCCTATGCCTAGCATTTGTTCTGGAAGAGGGGCTTTGTTATATGTTTTCTGCAGGCTCCAGATCTACTCTTGTCAGTTGGCTGCACTGTGTTGGAAACCGCTGCCATCCTGCACTCTGAAACAAAGGGCCTTCCCAATTTTGCCGCCGGTTCTTGTGCTGCACTGTTCAAATGTGAGCATACTTTACCTACTGCAGTGATTGAACTGCATTTTGGCTTCTCTTCATGAACTTAAAATTGGTGACCCTGGTGTTTGAGGGGTCTATATTATCTGACTTTGCAAAAACAATTGGTTTTATGGCTTGAAGTATTACAGGTAGCAATAAAAGCTCTTTACAGAGCAGCTGTCTCAAAGGTACACATGCTTTCCGTTACCTGTACTTTGATCTTGACTGATAATAATTTTCTCCAGTGGTTTGTTTTTGGAAGGATATTTATCCCTGTTACAGCATCATTCCAGTGAGGGCAAGGTGCTGCCAGAGTATCAGCTAGGCAGGTGCTTCTTGAATGTGTTCAGCAGGAAATCACGCTCAATGTATGCCCCACAGGAGCTCTGATGGCCCTTCCTTGGGTCCATTGCATGTGATGCTGCAGGCAGTAGACCACCTCACTTCACTTTTCATGAAGCTTCCATCTGTGACTGGTTCAGGTTGGACCCATAAATAGCATTTTTAGTATAAATAAATAGTGGCTTGCCTGTAATTCAGGATGAGCTTGGCAAGCCAGTGATAACTTTTTATAAGGTTTCAAAAGGTGACTCTATTCTTTGTAAAGCACCTGATTGCAGTAATGTTTCTGCCTGTGGCTGGACTTCTAGGAGACCTTTTTCTCCATCAGCAGACCCCTCAGATGACCAGAGACAGTACCATCAGTAGTAGGACCCATTCTTCTTGCTCCTTCTCTCTCTTCCCAGTGTTTTGAGCTGGGTTGAATTGATTCTGCACTGTTTGAGGAGCATAGCCACATATCCCAAGGCTTCCAGTGCATCTTTGTTCTTCCATTCTCTAACTGGGCTCCTGTTGTCTGACATGTCTGCAGTTGTGCTTGTTTTTTTTAATGCAAACATGAGATTAAATCAAGACTCTGGTAGCCTGTATGTTGTTTTCAATTTGGTCAAATAATAAATCTAATTTCAAAATGGACAATCTGTAGACTAATTTAAGAACTAAAGCAATGTAACTTGGAAATTCTCATCATGCTTCTAATCTTTCTATAGCATTATTCCTTTCTAATACTCATCTCCTTAGTGTTTATCTGGTGAGTTCTGGGGTGTCTTTCAGAGACACTAAGCAGTTTTGTTATTTAAGTACTCAGTCCAGCATGGCTGTTCAACTAGAATGGGGACAGAGCCAGGGTCATGCTTCAGGTTCCCTCCATAGCTGAGAATGGCAGTGCCAGAAGACGAGTCATCAGAAAATCTGACCTGGGTGCAGAATCAAACAGCTCTGTTCTTTGGTGTTCACTCTTGAATTTCACAGTGCTGGTTAAGACTTGCTGAACTAGCCATCAAGGAAAGGAGACTCTTCTACCTTAGCTCAGGGATTTTTGTTAGTGATACACCAAGTGACCTTGAGTAAAATTGCTTATTCATTGCATTCTTTCAGCCTATATCTTTGGACGCAAAAGTGCCAGGTATTCCTGGAGCCAGCTTTTGTAGTTTGGGAAAATGTTAGCGTGTCCTTTTCCCTGACAAATTTGTAGACGTTGCACAGAACCTTTAAGTGTGTGCCCTAGGTTACTGTAAAGTGTGTAGTATTTTAGATTCCACATGAACAACATGGGGTATCGCTAAAAGTCAAAATAAGCCTTTTTGCTCTTTTCCCATAATCATTCTTCATTTTTTTGCGTTGCTGTTAAAGCTGTTTAAGTGGCTTTAGATTTCTCCTTCAGATGAGTGAAGAGTGCAACACTTCAGATGGGATGAGAGTCCAGTAATGAGCATAACTGGCAGTGTGTGTCAGTAGTTTCCTTTGACCTCACCAGAATGGTCTACAGAGGAATGGGAAACATTCACCTGATGCTATCTTTTGAGGAACTCGTGACAGATCCGTGCAGAAACATCGCCACAGCCTCCTTGCTGCAGCATGAGTAATGCCACAATGCTAAAGTTAAAACTGTTCTGACAGCACCTAGCGAACGAGGGAAATGTGTGGGATGGTACTGGTAAAAGATTTAAATGGTATAGTATGTGTGTTAGTTTCTAGACAAAACTGAGTGAAGGAGAGGTGTCCTTGGCCTGTAATTCTGCATTTAAGAAAAGTTCTCACTTTATGAATGGTTCTAGTGGGCTGTGAACACCTTTGGTACACAATGCAAGAAAGAAGTGAAGTAGGACTGCTGTCTGGGCTCCTCTACTTTAGCTGGGGGAGTTAATCCCATGTGAGTCACTGTCTGGCGTACCCGGTGTGGGCCCCTCATGCTGCAGGAGGACACAGCCCGCCAGAAACTGGGATGCTCTCGTCTTTATCCACGCTGCTGGCTGAAGGAAGAGCTGCCTCCTCGTGTGCTGTAGGCAAGGTGAGTGGCTGGTGTGCTGGGATGTTTTCATATCCAGACTGAATTCCTCCATTTAGAGTTAGGAAAGACCTGTCTTGGCAGCTCAAGAACTTGTACCAGCCAGTCTCATGTCCAAGCAGTACCTGTGACTGCGCTGTGATGCTGCCCCTGGTTTTGGACACCTTACGTACAAGTATGCTATAGACCAAAGCGAACTACTTCAAGAATCAAGTCCACAGCCTTGCTGAATTAAGGGAGGCACGGTGTTGTACCCGTGGGCCTCCAGAGAAGCTTCAGACGTGAGGATCAGATGGTTGTGAATGTCGGCTGGATATCAGTTAATATGCTTGGATTCTTGTTTCCTCAAGTGCTGCTGTGTCTCTTGAATACAATATCTCTGCACCTTTTGGGTTAATTTTTGTGCCTATTCTCACAACAGGGCTTAACTCAAACTTCATTGCTGATGGCCACAAGCAATTAAAAAAAAAAAAAGTGACTCTATCCTGAGTGCAGAACATGGGTGCCTTCAGTGTGGGTGGTGGGTGCTGACTGCCTGTAGGTTGCTTGTGCAGAGGACCTATTAACTTGCAGCTGGTCCTGTGGAAAATAGGAGAGGTGTGTGATGCTGGTATGCTGCTGCTGGAGATACAAGTTTGTTCTGCTGAGAGCAAGGAAATTGGCAATGAGGAGCAGCTACACCGAAGGGCTTAGCAGCCTGTCTGGTTGGAGCTGTGGTTGCCTGCGGTGGATAGCTGCCCAGGTCTCTTGGCTCCACAGCAGGGACGCAGCTTTTGCTTGTCCAGGCCCAGCAGAGCCAGGGCAGGATGAAGGGAGCAGTTGTGTTGGCAGCCAGAGACGGGTCTGTCCTGAGTCCCTTCTGCCTTTTCCAGATGGATAGATGTTTCCAAACACCATTTAACAGCTGGTGTCCACGGGGACTGGCAGGGGAGTTAATACTCTTATTCTGCCTTTTTCCCTTCTATGCGGAGAGGTAACATGGGGCATCCTGCTTGGATCCATGGCTGTCCTTGCAGTGGGACTGGAGCCAGCTTTGCTTTTTCTTGGTGATTGGAGCTGAAGGCTCCCCTTGGATCCATGTAGGAGCAGGGGTCTGCAGCACTGTGCCCAGCAGGGAGGCCCCAACTTGGGCCCTCAGTGCTGTACAGAGCCTGGCAAGGGGAAAGGGACAGAAAAACAGACTTTGGCTCTTCTCCCTCCCCAGCCGGAGCAGTTGAGGGGCTGCCAAGGGCTGTGTGGCAGGGAGAAGAAAGGCAGCGTTGATGGGAGCTGCGTGGCTCCGAGCTGCTGGGCTGGGAGCCAGGCACGTCAGCACCTGATGGGCCAGCTCGAGGAAGGGCTTCTCACTCCTCGCCTTCTCCAGCCGAGCCCAGGGCTTCTCCAGGTGAGCCCTGCTAAGGTACAGTGTAGTGAGGTCTCTCCTGTCCCTCTGCTCTGCCTTTTCTGGACTGCGCTCTCACTTGTGTGGGGCATCACTTTGGCACCACTGTGCTGAGGGATCTTTCCCCAGGACCCCAGCTCCTGCACTGCTGCTCTGGATCATGCTGCCCGAGGCAGCTGCCTGGGGTCCCTCCTACCTTTGTCCCCCAGCCCCTGTCAGTTTGTGAGGGCAGCCCTGATGTGCAGACTCTGCAAACGAGCAGCCTCCAGTCGTGTGCTGGCTGTGCTGTGCTGAGGCTGCACGGATGGTTCCCAGCGAGAGGTGCGGGGCTGGGGCTGTGGGGCCAGTGCCTGGGGGCTGGACTGTCCTAATTTCTCACAGCAGATCCGCACGCCTTCTCCAGTCAGGCTGGAGCACCTCAATCCTTCCTCTGGGAGCTACTGGACAGAAGAGCCCTTGTGCAGCGTTTTTGGGAGGTGCCTGATATGTGCTGGGGGAGACTTTCCCCTTCCCAGTGAACGGATGCCTGGCTACAGCTGGGCCCTGCCCGGTGCCTCAGAGATGTTTCGGTCTTGCCCCTCTCCCAGCGCAACCTGTCCTGCAGTCCTGCAAGCAGGTGAGATGGCTCAGGTCTCTGCTCCCTGGCAACGCTCTGCAGGGGCTCTGGGAGCTGCCAAGGGTCCTGATGTGGGGAGTGGCAAGGCAGGCCTGTGCCTGGAGCGTGTCCCTCTGGGAGGTGCTGCCCAGCCGGTGTTGCCTTTGCCTTGGCTGTGCTGGGAGTGTTGCCCTGCTGGCCTGGGCTCTGATGAAAGCACAGTGTGGGGTGGCGCTTCAAGTTTGGGGTCAGTGATGCTTGTGACATCCTGGGGACACCAGATGGGCTGGGATGAAATCAGTGTGGGTTGGCTGTGGGCTGGAGCAGCAGGCGGGCCCTCTTGGACAGCACAGCACCAGGGGACGTCCGGATGGAGGGAGTGGGTCTTGTGGCTCAGGGCAGGAAGCAGTCACGCTGCCCGTGGGCTGGGCTGGGTGCACATGGTGGGTCTCCCAGTACCTGCCCAGCAGTGGTGATGGTGGTGTTGGCTGCAGTGGGCCCTTAAGCTGGTATCCTGGAGGCCAGAGGAAATTGAGCTGTGTCTGCGTGCTGCCGGGAGGGATGCTGCACCAGAGGACAGGGCTGCCCTGAGCCCTCTTCTTCCACAGTCCTTGCAGCTGCACACGAGCTGGCAGAGGGCCTACGTGGGTGCTGATGTGCTTCATGTACCCCAGTGCAGTCATGCACAGTGGTGGTGAATGCAGAGGGTGCTTCAAGTCTAGTGGCTGAAAGCATGTGAAATGTATCCTGAAGGCAAGTGAGTAAGGGCTCGTGCTTGAGAGGGCTGCTGGGCTGGACGGTCAGATCTTGTGCCCTGTGTGCTGCTGCTTTGGGAGGAGGATCGACAGATATTTTGCTGACTATCTGTGAAGCAAGAGAGAGGACATGGTTACAGAGGGACAACATGGATGCTGATGGGATTGGGGTGCCAGGACAGCTCAGACAGCAGCTGGCAGAGCAGCTGGGTAGGAGCTTGTCAGCCCCTGCGTGATCCTGGGCTCCTAATCCACATGTAGGGCTGGATTCTGAAGAAGCCTGCTGCCTGTTGCAAAGGCAGTGCTTCAGGGCCAGTGTTTACTCTGCCACGGTGTGGCCTGCCCCAACCATGGGCTCCTCCTGGGTGGCAGCTCTCGTGGGCACGCTGGGCTGGTGTGCAGCCAGCTTGGGGATGGGTTGGTGAACCTGCCACCATCTGTAGAGTAGCTCTGACAGGGCTGTGTTTGCCTTCCCAAAGCAGCCCTCCCTCCTGCCTTGACCCGCCAGCAGCCCCAGGATAAGGCATGGATTCTGCCTACTGGACGTGAGTCTGTGTCACAGAGCCAGAGTCTCTGCTTGGGACTGAATTCGTGCTTCTATCCTGTAAGCCATTCCTACAAGAGCTGGCACGTCCCTCCTGGCTCCTCCAGCAGTGTCTCTGCTACTTTTCCCACTCAGTCGGGTTTATTGGGTGAACGATTGCCTGACTGTGTCAGCAGCCATGCTCACTGACTGGCCCTGTGGGCTTGGGACGTGCAAGGATGGAAAGGGAGGAGCTGATGGCTTTGTCCTTTGCTGTCGTGTTACAGGGCGCAAGGCCAGCCCTCTTTCTGGACAGGCTGCAAGCTCAGCCATGCTCCTCTGCTTCTCTGGCTTTTCCTGTGAGAGGAGGGCTGAGCCTGCTCTCCTGCTGCAGCTGCCCCCCCCCACCCCCCGTCATGACTTGCCCTCCAGCTCTGTGTCTCGCTGCACTTGCACCTGCAGAGCTGACAGCTTTGGCTGGCTGGCTGTACTTTCAACTTGCTATGGGGTGTCTGGGCAGCACCCTGTCTTATCACTGTTAGGGGTTCATGGCAGCAGGCTGTCAAACCCCCTGTTCCCCTCTTCCTCTCCCTGATTAGTCTCATGGACACAGGAGGGATGATGCATGTGGCGCTGCTGCTCTCCCCTTGGCTGGGACAGCCCCAGCAGTGATGCTGTGCCTGGCTGGGATGCTCTGTGCCACGCTCTGTCCCTGGCTCGCCTCCACTACAGGGATTACCGGGGCACAGCACAGGATCCCAATACCCTGTACGGGTGCAGGGCAGAGGAGCTGGCGCTGCCCCGGGTGCTCTGGCAGGGACCAGCCATTTCCATCTGCGTAATGGAGACTGTAGCACAGCCACCATCGGCCCACTCCTGGGATATTTTTAGGCCTGGCTGTGCTGATGAGGGAGAGATGACAGGCTCGCTTCGCATCCGGACCACGAGATGCCTCTTCCAGCCGCAGCTGCCTGGTGCGATGGGAGGAGCGTGGGCCTCCCGCAAGGCTGCTCAGGGCCACGGTGTGCTGGGGGCTAGAGCCACAACCATCCCCCCCAAGGAAAAGCAGCACTGCTTGTGTGCTGTGGCTGTGGGCTTGCTGGGAGCTGCTACTGGTGCAGGATACCTCCATCCTTCCCCTCCTGGACTTGCACAGCTTCACTGCTCTCAAGAGAGCAGTTTAATGTATCACCCAGGTCTCACTGGCTCTTGAGCCTGAGGATGTTTCCTGGCTTGTGAAGGAGGAGTGAGGTATCTGATCAGATGATGCTGTGGGTCTGAAGTGTGGGCAGCAACACTCTTGCACATGGTCACTTGCTGTTGCAAAAATGGGGAACCCCCCTCCAGCTAAGGAGCCTTACCTTTCTGCAGGGCCTGAGGCTCAGAAAAGCGTTATGGAGGAAGGGATCAAAAACTCCCCTTTAGGGCAGATCCCTGGGTGGTGACACAGCTGGCACAAAGAGATGAGTCAGAGGTGACTCTGTGGTAAGATGCTGGAGGGGGAGGTCTGGGGTAAGAGACTATCCCCTTGGCCAAGCCTGTCTGCAGCTGGTCCCCCAGCACTGCTGGAGATGCCTGGCATGAAGCAGGTGTCTGGTGCTCTGGACTCATGTCCAGAGCTGGGAGTGCTAGCAGGTGACAGTGACAAACCAGGTCTGTGTCCTGGGTGCTGGCAGAGGGGGAAAAAGCCCAACACTCCCAGCAGTGCTGGGGTCTGTGGCTGGGGCAGAGAAGAGCTGCGCTGGGGCAGGTTCCTCTGCCCAGCTTCACACCAGGGCTCACACCCCAACCCAGATGGGTTACAAGTGCTGGACACTGAACACAGGACTTGTCTGGGTTGCTGTGCAAATCAGTGGTGCTAATCTACCCCATTCACCAGGAACTTTCTGCTCTGAGAGAGGACGTCAACACCTTGCTGTGGTTAGTTTCCCCCATCCCTGTGTTGGAAGGACCAGTCCTGCTGCAGGTGTGAACCTCCCTCGACTGGTTACTGAAGCCTGGAAAGCTCCAGCCCTGAGCAGCCACCTCTGCCTGGCCCTGTGGACCTGCCAGCCTGCCCCAGTGTAGCTGTGGTCTAGGTGATGGCCTCAGAAAGTTCATACTCCCTCCACTGTGGCACAGGGAGTTGGTTTCTAAGGGGAAGAGGGTGGGGAAGCTTTGCTGGAGAGCCTGAGTTCTGTCCCTGCCTTCTTGCGGCTGGCTTGGGGGGGGGCTGCAGCTGCCTCCGAGCTGCAGTGTGTGGGAAATGAGGGACCTGCTGCCCTGGCTGTCCCCTGTGGCTGCTGGGACAGGGGCAGAGTTCTCCATGGCTGGTAGCTCTGCACACACGCTGTTTAGGACCCCCCTTGCTACAAGAGGATGTAGTGTTCCTCTAGTCCTTTTCTACTTTGGGATTGTGCGAAAGCTGGTGATATACCCAGAGAGGTTTGGTGTGCTGCAGCAGCACCCCCTCTGTCTGTGTCCCCTGCCTGGGGCTGGCAGCTGCCTCTTCATGGTTGCTGTTAGCCTGGGTCCTGCCAACCCCAGTTGCGCTAACTCCTTGTTAGGCACAGCAGCTGCAAGAAAACACAGGTTGCCACAAATGCTGAATCTCTAAAACACAGAGTGTTTGTGCCCCTTAGAGCACCAAACCTTGGCCATGTCCTGCAGTGCCACACACACAGTCCCTACACCCTCCTGCACTGGCCCTGCTCTGCCTTATGGCCCGCCCTGTGCTGGGTGGCTCCTCTCCTTCCTTCTCTTTCTCAAGAGGGAGCAGATAAGCCTCAGCACCCAGGAGTGGGGCCAGCACTGGGACACAGAGGGCTGCATTGGCTGGGCCCCTGCTAGCTCAGCACTTCGTGCCAGGCTCTCGTGTCCATGGATGGAGCACCTGCACCAACAGCTCTGGCACCTCCTCCCACCACCTTCCCAGGGACTGGCCCTTTCCCAAGCACCATGCTTGCCCCAGTATTGGGTGAACAGGTGGTAGGATGCTGCAAAGAGTGATTTCACTCTGGGCACAGGGCTGTGCAAATGGGGAGGTTTTGATGTCCCTTGGTGCCTCACAGTGGGTTTTGAGAAAGGGCACTCGCCCCCACAGGGAGTGCAGCCTGCTGCTTTGCAGACAAGACTTGCCCTGGGAGCTGCTTACCATGGCAGTGTGGCCCACCAGCCTGCAGTACGACTTGCACAGGCTGTGTTGCAAAATTGGTTCCTTTTTCAAGAAATGGGGCCAGCAAATGTGTCGTGAAACGACTTAGTCCAAAGAAATGCGCTAGTACTCATGCTATCAGTTCCACCTCAGTCTGGCAAAACAAAAAAAAAAAGGCACATAGCCATGATTTTTGTCTGAAACTGTGACAAATGACATCATGAAATTTCAAACAGGGCGCAACTCAGCTGCTGCAGGAGCACAGCTCACCTGGGACCAACACTGGCTCCCAGCCATTTCCTCAGGGCACATGAGGAAAAGATCAGAGTGACACAAATGTGGAAGGTTTATAAATCTGAAGTGGGGACTGAACCAGCAGAGCCATGGCCTGCTGTGCTTATGCTGTGGGTTTTGGCACCAAGGCACTTGGGCACGTGTGGGAGACCAGTAGAAGCAACAGAGCTGGTTGCTGCATTGCTGGCGTGCTACTCGGGTTCAGAGGCTTCAGTTCACCAGGCATCAGGGAGCAGTGGAGATGCTATGGGGTTCAGGTTGAAAAGGCTGGAAAGGGGAACCTGTGGCCATGTGGCTCCATCACCACAACGGGCCA